CAGATGTCAAAGTTATTCTTCACATTACATAGTTATTGGATAATTCAACAAGCTATTCTTTATATTTTGAAACTCATATAGAGCTTTATAATTCTAGTAAAGCTGAATCTGAACAAGAATTCAGTATCACAACTCTTTAGAAATTTTTTGAAAATGTTTAGATATTGTCATATTGTCAGGATTTCTATAAGTATGTTCACAATTTTCATGCTTTTACTTCTAGGGTATAGTTTTCTAAAGCAAATTGAAGTTTGGCTGACAATACCAAATTAAGAATCAAAAAGGTCAAAGTTTACTCACTGTGAACAAATTAGTGTAATTACTAGAAGCAAATAACAGCCTGTGTAAAATTCAAGTACTAGTTCTATGTTTGCATAGAGAAGAAACAGGCTTGTGCTCTGCCACAGCAAGGCCATTTATGAATGCAAATCAACATGTTGACTTCTGAGCACCTACCATCCTGAAGTATAATTGTGGAAAGGTTAACCTAGGGCTGAGCACTGGCTTACTAACACAAACTGCTCAATATCTCTTACTCTTTTTCCATAGTACACTCTTCTCTGAGATCCAAAACTTCTCCCACAAAAACATTTTCTATTTTCTGCAACGAGTTAACTCCTGGTCTATCATTATCAAGCATAAATGCTGAGCAACTAGAATCACAAGTGAACTCTCCATGAAAGTTAATACCAGCCTAAGCATGAATTTTTCATGGAATTAACCACATCTTAATAAAGAAGCATGGTCGTGTACCACATTCTCTCCTATGAATATTTGCAAGGATTGCCTCCTTTTCAGCTGGCAACCAAACTAAATTCCTGTGGGAACACCAGTTGCCTATATTGAAAAGCAATATGAGTAATGTATTTTAAGCTTCTTGTAGAAGCAATTTAGCAACTGAAGTCTTAAGTACTGGCACAATGCAAACTACTTACTTGCTATACTGCTATGTGAGTTCATAAACTGAATTACTTGCTACGATGTCAAACCCAACTACGAAGAGGTATTTCTTTATGTTCACATAAAGCCACGAGACTCATTTCAGTCTACCATATAAGATACGCCATGTAAGTACACATAACAAAAGTTTCCTTAAAATTGGAAATAAATTATTTAAGTCAGAGTAATCAAGTATATTCTGAACAGATCCATACAAACAATAAAACCACCAAAGTAACTGCTTTGCATGAACACTGCACGAAAGAACTCACTTATTTGACCCTTTGTCAGTAACTACGATCTTTAACTGTATTCTGAGCTTCCAATTGCATGCTTGCAGTATTCCAACATACACTGGGTAACACATACCTGACAAAACTGGACTTATACAACAATCAACTCCTAGTAAAGTTTTTGTTGCATGCTAAAGGTTATCAAAACATTAGTGGTTTTCTATGCCTGGAAGGCTGAAGGCATAAAGTCAAACAGTAATTATTTTAAGTAACAGAATTCATATGCTGCTATTTTTTTTTCCATTACTAACATAACTCCAAGACAGCCTTGAACCCATACTAGTTTGTTGTGTTTCGGTTGGATTTTTTCCTTCCTGGAAGATTAACAGATGCAACTTTCTAAACTCACGTATGGAATGGCTAAGTCTGTCAAAGTCTAATATTATACTCATCCTACTATTCAGAGTAGCTGAGCAAACTTCAGCAAGGTTTAATTCTAAAATTAGCAAGGTAATTACTATACTATCTTCACAACTCTGTCCTCAGGCTAAGAATTATCCCGTCTTTAAGACTGCTGCTCCAGGTAAACTCTGCATTAATTCTCAATTGTATCAGCTTAATACATGTCCTGTACCCTTGTTTTAATATGCTTAACCCTCTGAACTTGCTCATCTATACATGTTCAGGCTTAAGGGCTGACATCCTCATTAAGTGAGAACTCTAAGGCCGAAATTCCAGCTAAACAGTCACGAACACAACCACAGTATCCCTTATGACCAAGGAGGGGAAAAAAAAGCTGTATCTCGTAGTAGTGCATTAAGTACAGCTAAGCAGTTTAATCCCTACCCCCAGTTCATAACTCAACATGCTTTAAAGTATTCACTAAGAAAAAAATAGCATAGAGAGTCAGTTCTGTGAGAAATAAGCATTACACAAACTTTGAGTCGAAGTACAGGATAGACAATACTAATAGTCATTTCCAGATGAAGTGTTTATGTTTGTCAAGTATTTTACCCACAAAAGAATCCATATGACTATATCACCAAAGACAGAACAGAAACTGAACAAAAATTAATTTCTATTGAGCAGTCACTGAACAGCCACTAGGGCATTATATCTAGTAGATGAGAAGCTTACACCATTTACAGGTAAGCCCTACAACGGGTTTATGTCCCTCCAGCACACAAATAATGTCTGTAGGGAGAACATGGACCACATGTTGGCAAAACACAGTACTGTAACATTTTTCAAAAGGACAATTGTCTTCAATATAAGATTTCTCCAGCAATTTCTGCAGCTGAGATGCAATAAAGGGAAAAAGCACAGCTGTTGTGGCAGGCTCACAGTGCCTAGACAACAATTTGCATTATGAATAAACAGGAAATACATAATTTACTCATCCTAGATACTCTGAGGATCACAATATAAATATCTTAGTAACTAATTCTATTTGCAAACCCTGCAGCAAATCAGAATTGAACAGGGAAAAAAGATTCCTCTCCCTCCCCATTATTTTACTTGAAGATTTTTGTTTTCTTTTTCCAAAAAGTAGGTGTTGCTACAGTTATTTATAGTCAAAGACAGCTTTAAGGAAATCAATCCAAAACAAAACCAAAACCAAATCTGAGTATTATCAATAATTTTACAGAATACAATTTTATGAGTGTTTTTATCTAAAACACAAATTATATTGTCTCATTACTTGCATCCCCTTCCTGCTCATTTCAACATGTTCCATTTCATGTAAGATTATCAAATTTTAATGCTTAATTGAATGTCTTAAGTAATGATGCAACTCCTAACGCTCCTAAATTCTGAGTAAAAAATATCAACATTACCCTGATTCAAGAGGCTGAATAAGTGCTCTGTTTCTGGCTCTTTGCCAGGAACCAGGTACCCACAAGATCAAGAGACAGTCAACAATTTTTAGTGCCCTCAGACTGAAAAATAGCTGAGTCATATGTTATTGGACTTCCCAGAATCTGTTCGACTAATCCTATTTAGAAGTTTATCTTTAATGATTAAAAGCTTGAGTTGCATACATACTAATGGTAACTTATATTTTCAGGTTTAAATTCTCCACAGTTACACTATAATTTCATTATTATTCACAAAGTATTTGAGCAGTTTTTTAATTTTTAACTACTGCCTGCTCTTCTACATTAGGTTATTTTGATTTCTTGCATATGCAAAATACACATATACATTGTTTCAACAGTATCAATTCTCAAAGTAAAAAACTCTCCCTTTTCTAAACCAGGTTTTTCCTGACTAATCTTTTATTCAATGTCTTTTCTCCAAAGTGCTTCTCACACACAAACATTCAGCATCACTAGTTATTCTAGAATAAATATGAAAATTTTCATGATTACAGAAAACTAAACTTAAACTGAAATGAAGACTTTACACTTCAGATTCCAAAAACTGGTTTGCTCTCCACTGTGCTTTTTCTGTTCCAAGAATTTTCCCTTCAAAGCTACCAAATGATTATGTTAATTGGAAACATTAACTAATTTCAGTTAAGCAGTTTTTCATAAAATAAAATTAACATAGTTGTCATGCTCATTTCTTTCTTTCTCAGAAAATGTAAGCCTGTCCAACCCCTTTTTATCACCACTCCAAACAAAGGACACATCCATTTAAATATTAGCAAACCCACTTTACCAAAAGACGACAGTTAGGTTACAGGTTATTTTTTTTACATCTACATTTTAAAAGTGGCAAAAAACAGAGTGAGAAATTGTGGCATAATACCAGACTCTTATCTACCTCCCTTTTGGTATCTTTGTTGTGGGTTTCCTATTAATTTAGCTACCAAGGCAAAATCCAGAAGGTATAAGGTAAGCACTTTAGGAAACTCATTAACACTAAACCCTCATAATACAACTTCTGGCGGTTTTGGAGGGAAGAAGGGCTGGTTTTTTTGGAAGGGGCGGGGAGGGGCAAAGGGAGAGTGTTTGGGTTTTGGTTGTTTGGGAGAGGGGACTGTGTTTTGGTGGTGGTGGTTTTTAAGTTTTGCCTTACGAGGCTGGAGATGAAGCCAACAACGTAAGTAAACAGCAAACTTCCTTATGGAATGATTAAGCAGAGAGAAAACAGCTTTGCAATATTACAAACATTGCAAAGGGGGAAAGTCATCCAAGACCTGGAATCTTTCCCATCCTAAATTTGTCTTACTGAGATTACGTGTTGGTCAAGTGGATGCAAATATCTGGAGAACAACAGGTTTAGTGGACCATAACAACCCAGTTTTTAAGTTTTACTTACTATTTTTTTCTTTTGAGATTTTAAATCTTCCAGCGCATCATCTAAAAGAAGGACAACATACATTAGTTTTCAAATATAAATAAAAGATTTCAGTACACTCTGAACACTGACTTTGCAGTGTAAGACCAGGAAAAATTACACACTGACCACTATCAATCCTAAACACCAGTAAACTTTGTATAAAATAACTATTTTATGTGAAAATAAATCACTTAAAATGCTGAAACTGCTTATAAATTATAGCCTACTGTTATCACTTTATAGTTATAACTATTAAAAAATTTTATGTACCATTTCCTCATTAAGCAAACCAATTCTAGCCAGTGCCCTGTTTTGACCTACATTAAAACTGGTATAACAATGGACCAAATACACTTAATCTCATGAGTCAATCTACAGAAAAAAAGCTTGAGGTCTAAGCATTAATATATATGAGTACCAGATTTACTGGCTTCAGTATGTCACATAAGCCTCTTAACACATACTAGTTCCAAATGCCAGGTCAACTCTGAGCTTTAGAGCTCAGTGTATTTCACCCTTTCTATACTTTCAGACTACAGCAAACACCCCAGTTTTGTAAGAACAGCTACCTGAAGGTCATTTTACTACTAAATGTTAAGAGACTCTGTTACAACTAATAGGTAAAGCACCCAACCTCTCTAAGAGGAAGTGAAGGAAGAAAGGTCAAATCCATGTGGGATTTTCTTGTAAGTCAGTGTTTGCAGCTTGACACTCATGGAAATCTCACTGTAATAAACCATCACCTAATGCTCTATTGAGAGAGTAGAAGATGCTCTCTCAATAATACAGCTTTCTACTACATCCTTCACAGCAAAAAGAGTTTAACAATAAACTTTACAACTTTTTCCCTCCTACTCAGCTCTAGTGAACACTGGCAACTAAATTCCTGTAAAACTATAGCTATTTTTACCCATTTTTTCAGATTTCAAAGCAAGAAAAAGCTTCACAAAACTCCAAGATATAAAACTAAAACCCATCAAACTAAAAATAATATTTTTTTTGCATCTTTCTTTAGACATAAATATGTCATACCACTTCAGGAACACCATTACTTGAAAGTAAGGGAACAATTACTTGATCTTTCCAGAATGTCGAGACTCATTTTGATAGAATAAACCCTTTTATTAAATGCAAAAAATATTAAAACTGGGCATGCATATATTTGAAAGTTTATGCAATAAAAGGGTAACTACAACAACCCATATTAGTTAAGATAAATAGAACATGGAACAAGACCATACTTAGTACTGGGCTGGACCACAGAAGATGGGCAATTCCAGAAAGTGTGCATCTTCAAATTAATAAGATATCTCCTTCATAAAATTTTACATTTATATTAGTACACAGTCTCATGTAGCCCCACGCAGATTAACAGCTTGGAATGCACTGCAGTGCAGTGTGGTATCATGCAGCCAAGCAAGCAGCAGATACAGCCAACTGTTAACTGCCACTTAAGAAACCAAAACCCAAAACCACTTTTAGTACAGAAGTGCCTTGAACATCTTCAGGCATGGCTCTCCACCAAGCCGTGCAACCAGCTTTAAATGTGGGTGTTTCTGATCACTCTGCTTCCTGTATTCAGCAAGAACCGAGTGAAACACCTGCCCCTTCAAATGTGGCCAAAGGGCAATTACTGCAAAGTACTCTCAAGAAACCAATATATCTCATCTTAATTAAACCTAAAGAATAAAAGGAATTCATACTAGAGAAGTCAATACCTGCAATATACCTCATTTATTTTCCCCACACTTTGGGACAGATCAGCCTAAATCTCCCTTAACAGTTGTTTTCCTGACCTGTCTTAAAAACTGAAATTCCATAATCTCTCTATATCACCTTTCCTGGAGTCCAGCTATGAATTTTCCTCATTCAGAACATGTTCCTAAATCTGATGTATGCTGGTTATCCAGCATAGAGCTTTATAGTATTAAATAACCATCTCCAGTGACTCAATGTGTTATATTAACTTATCCCAGAATAAAAGGTTAGCTTTGAGCCACTTAGTTGCCAATTTGCTCTCTCAGCTACACCTCCTCCCACTGTACTGCCATTAACTCTTGTACCACACATTTCATTTTTCTTTTTCAAATACAGGACTTTTATCTTTGAGGTAAAACACTTCGTTTTTATCCAATCTCTGGAAACACATTGACATAATAATCCCTTTTGGCATGTTCTATCATCTACTAAAAACCTTTATACACAGGTTTAACAAAAGCACCAGACTTGCCTGTATACTCAAAACAGCAATAAAGACATTTAAGCAAACTAGAAAAACATACATACTTTTTTTCTAATTCAGTCATGAAATGCAAATATATATTCTCCTTAGAAATGAATCACACGGCACTACAGAATAGATTGACAATTTTATTGCCACATAAAAATGTATGTTCGGCGCTCGCATATCAAACACAAAAATTAAGTTTAACAAAAATTCCAAAAGTGATGTTTAACTCGTAAGCTGTCACAAATTACATATATCATGCTGTTCTGCAAGTCATAAAACACAGGGCAACATTGAGATTCTCCTGTATTATTGCTCACATCACCATGAGATATTGTTACAGGTTGGACTGCTCTCAAGGAAAGTCTCAAATGAATTCTAACTACTGCAGACAAGTGCCACAGATGCTGTTTTTAAATAGCATGTAGATTCATTCTAATGCAAAATTTAACAACTTTTTATATATATTTGAACAAATGCATTACTTTTTGGTTTTGTTACATGACTTCCAATTTTCCTTAGCTCTCAAAAAAGCAGAAACATACCTGCTTATATCCTTTCCACTCAGGAAAACAAGCATGCTTTGGAGAACTTGTGAGAGAAAAGCTATCTTGACAAATAAATTAAAACATCTCCTATAAATTTCTTCTCTTATATATAAGGATAACAGATTAAGACTCTTGGGATACTCGCAAGATGCAAGTATCAAGGGAACTACTATTGTTTATATTTCCTTTTCCCTCGCTCCCACTTTTACTCTGTCTTTTATTCCATTACACTTTGACACATGCAAAGATGGGAGAAAGTTACCACAATTTTACAAGTGAAGTGAAAGATTAGGCAGTTTCCTTCCTGTTCTTTCATGAACCATGTCATAGAAATAAGTGTAGCTAATACTACCCATTTCAGTATCAACTACAAGACTACCTTTGCCTGGAAGCCAAATGATCAAAACCATTTACATTATCGTAGTAAGCATCATTCTTATCTAGCTCCATATTAAAAAAAAAAAAATACTTACTATTCCTTTCTGTCCGTTTGGAAAAGAAGAAAATGAGCAGTGTTCTTATACACCAGATTCTTTAAAACAGAAAGAAGAATTATATTCATTAAAATAAATTACAGTAAGCGTTTCTGAAGTCATTTAGCAAACAGAACACTTACCAGATGAGATTTGGCAAATACAAAGAACAGAAATCTTTAGACAATATTTATACAAAAAGCTAAAAATTAAATTAGCATCTTGTCAAGACATCAACATTGCTCTAAATAAAATGCTCTTTTCTATTAAAATTTAACCAAGTATTACTAAAGGTAGAAATACTAAGGCAGCAATTGCAAGTAACATCATCACTTACTAAAACGTTCAGCTGAATATTACACAGTCATCACTTCTTATTTGATAGATTTATTATTCATGTTATCCAGAAAACCAAGCTAATAAGCTATGGCCCAAAATCATGACCTGGGAGATTTGCAGGAAGAATTCAATAGCAATGAAAACCACAAGATACAACTATTGTACAAATACTCTCCCAAGCAGAGTTAACTGACCTGAGTCCTGGTGATTTTACAGAGCTCTGAATCTACTAGTTTTATAGGGTTTCAGTTGACTTAGCTCAAACAACAGAGTAGTTCACCTCAAGATAAAGTCAAACTGATCTATGACCCCATTACACTCAAAGGGTCTCTCTGCAATCATCATGACTTCATTTGCTTACAATTAAATTGACACTTTTCCTGGTAAGTTATTCAGCCTAAGCCATGCAGCAAGTCTCATACTTTAAGCCATTCCAGTGATCTTACCTTATGTCAAGCATTAAATAACAGAGTCTAAATTAGCAATGTTCTGTTTAAGAAAATTGCATTTATATAATGGTTTCCCAGTTCAAAATGCCTTCAAGTATTAACATAGCCTGAGTTAGGCAAGTTAGATGAAGCAACTGGGATGTGAGAGTAACCTATCCAAGGTAAGAGAAACAGAGAAAGAAGTTTAACTATTCCAGGTTCAAAGATATCCCACAATAACTACTCTGAGAATACAGATAGGTTTGCCTGTTTACACACTGCAAAATGTGTCTTCATAAAGCATCAGAAGAAATAAATGCTTACAGGGTTTGAATTGCTTTAAATACCCTGTTACATAAGAAAAAAGTGTTATTTCTTTTTTAATGTATGTTAAAGAGTCTTCTATCAAAAGCTGTATTCTAAGTTAACAGATATGGCAGGACTTCATGAAATAAAAAAACATTTCCTCTTTAAGAACTTTGAGATGAAAGTTTAATAGCAGACCGTTTCATACCAATTTTACAAAATAAAACCATATTTCTCAAAATCAGAACATGCAAGCTTAAACAATTCAAATAAAAACCAGTTCAAGAAGAGCATCCTTCTAACATGCTAACATATTTCTTCAACTTTTCAGATATTTCAACATACATTTAAAATTAACCAAGTTATATTCCTAGAACTTAACTTCCTCTACCAGCATCAGTAACTTGCTGAGACCCTGAGGGACTGACCTAAGGCAGAAATAAGTTGGTGACTGACTGCAAGCTGGAAAAGGCAGACATATTCCAGTTTGATTAGGGCTGAAAAATCTCTAGAGCTATTACTGGGTGGCACCAGGCATTCAGCATGGAGTCACCTCTTGACCGAGCACAAAGACAAGCTGGCAGCTGCTTGCCATTCATATCTGCCAAAAAAAGCTGAAGGGGAATAGCTTAAATAAAAAAAAAATCTGATAAACAGTTCTAAGTCATAGAGAACAACAGTCTAATTTTAAATGTTAGTAAGCCGATATCTAAGTTGGAATTTTACAGAGAGCCATCTTGAAAAAAGGTGGAATTGGAAGACAAACTAGAGAATAAAAACCCATTGAGAAAATTCACAGCACAGCACTAGAAGCCATCTCACCTTCAATGATAAAAGTTTTCATTTCTACACTAATCCTAACACATCTATGTGAAAGGGAGTTGGTAATACTTCCTCTTCTACAAGCCTTTCCTATTAGCATGAGTAAGCTTCACACATTCACAAAAAAGACTTTGAAATGCTTGTCCTTAAGAACAAAATCAATTCATGTTACTGCCAAATATTAATTTGAGCTCTAATTTCTATATTAATCCTTTCCAGTCAAGATACTGCCACTCATGTATCTTCTCCACAGAATTCCACAACAACAGCATATTAGTGTATTATGCATAACACAGTATGACGTCCAAAAACCATCTTCAAGTGCCTTTTTTTTTTTCCCATGGTATGTTATGCTGACCCACGCTAATCAAACTTGCAAAGCCTTAAATATTTACATTTGACTTTACCTTTAAAATCTAAAGCTAGGGCACTGACAAGTCATGTTTTCATACAAAGATGCTGTACAAATATGGACAGTATTTATGATGTTCATTTCAGCAAATTAGTAAATGCACTGTGCTCCCTGTAGGGAGCATCCTCAGCAGGATGCTTTCTCCTCCTTGATCTGAGGGAAGGGGAGGTAGTAAAGCAGCTGTTTAGTGAGGTGGGAGCCCATTTTGTTACTTTAGAAAAGTAGCTTTCTTAGAAAACAAAAGCCACTCATCAGGATGAGCAGCTAATCAGCTCAGTGGAACAAAAACGTTAACAATACTTTCTCCTGTTCACATCCAATGAAGTTTGGATATTTCATTGTTGAAGTAAATAGTCAATGATTTTCCAGAAAAATAGCTAATTACATAAAACTAGTCTTCAACATAATTAGGCTGATGATCTTTCAAGTCAATTCTGTATTAACACACTTACTTTAATAGGTAACAGTAAGTTTCTCCATTCATTCTTGTATTTTCCCGTGTTTTATAATGTTACATTTTATATATAGGTGATATACCATAGGTTACTTTCATATAGAGATGTTACTTTCCAACTAGCAGTAAGAATAAAAGCCAAGATAATGCTCTTTTGCTTATACTACATTACCTTGCAGCTGCTCAAATACAGGTCTCTCTCTCTAGCCCTAGCATAATTTTGATAGGCCAAGTAACTTTACATCCTATCATCTTTTGATGATAAAACTTAGTTTCAGACCCATGAGAGACATTTCCCACAAAGAAAGTGTCTGCCTAACTATTGGGATTTATTTTAGAAGAAAAAATTCAGCAAGTTATGACATCTCAAGGATTGTCAAAGTAAACCCAACCTCCTGCTGAGATGTATTTTCCATCTCCTTTTATCAAACAGACAGCAGTTAGAAAATAAAAAAAGGCACATTTACTTACATGAATGGAAATGCAAAAAATGGAAGTGTCATTGTCAACCTTGCTGTCCATTCGTCAGGAAGACACCACAAATATACAATTAAGCAAGTAACAAGGTAAAGGAGTGAAGAGTAGAGAAGCAGCCCTCCAACCCATAGTTTCTGTAGCCTCTGATTTTTTTCTCTAAATTCTTCTAATGTCTGTATTTCCTGTAAATAAACAGGGTTCAACCTTATTAGCAAAATTAGTAGGTGGTTTTACTAAGCTGCCTTTAAATGTTTGCTAAAATCAGCCCTATCAATTTGATACTTGATTCAAGTCAAGTAGCTTTTTGATCAACGACAATATTTCCCAAAGATAACTTCCATAGCATAAATACACTATTAAGATTATGATATGGGCTACTTGCACTGTATTAGCAATAGGAAAGAAATATTACAAATCAGCACTTTTTCCACAATTGAAATGTATTAGTATATTTGGGTGGGACAAGAGAAAAATAATAATATCTTATGAATGGCAGTCTTTACAATGACATCAATCAATGCTAACCATACTCTGCATCTTAAAACTTTCATCAGGCATCTGTGGAATTTTAAATGCCTCTAATGCTTTATTACTAACATGGGAAATTGCCGAAACATCTCCATTATTTCATGTGTTTTCCTCTCAGTACTTTCCTCACATTAAGAGTGAAATCCTGAACATCTGTATGATGCTTCTGGCATATTAATAAGTGAGTGAGCAACGCTCTGCTGTGTTAACCATTTTGACTGTATTTCAAGTGACAACAGGAGTACTCACACTTTCATCATAAGGAAAACAAAAAATATCAGCAGCATACTTCAAAACAGTTAATTTCCCCATAGAGTACAGACATCTGTCACAAATGCTGGTGAAAAATCACAATTGATTACTGAACCATCTATTCACTTATTCTGCCCCTGACCTTACTACTATCGCAGTTACAACTTTTACACATAAAACCATACATTGAAGCTTTTCTAATCAACCTGATGAATGGAACTTAGTATTAGTGACATTTTCCATTACATGGGACTTTAACCACTAGTGATAAATAATTGTGTAATCAAGGCAGCTTCACATTCATTCCTATTTCAAGCTCTCTAAATAAATAGTTGAGCTGTTGCTTCTCACTATCTATTACAGAGTATGGGTATTTTTTAAATGACTAATAGTAAGGGGAAAAAAAGATAGCAATTCCTCTGAAACTCAGAATCTCTAGTAGTGCAATAATTACCACCTTAATTTAAAATGTCATTACAGTGTTTTATTTAATGTGAAAGAAATATATGGCCAGTAAAAAGGATGCATATTTCAAAAAAAAAAAAAAAAAAACAAATAAAAAAACTCACACGAAGAGCAAACACATACCTTATCTATTTTTTCTAATACTTCTACAGTGGATGGCTTTGCCTGCTTACAAGAGAAAGAACAAAGACATTAATCTCACTTTTTTAAAAGTCAGTTTTTTGAGGATTACTGTCCATTAACAGTTTCCTAATAAAAAGACATATTCATAACAGATTAATAAATTATCTGTTTTACATAAAGGTAATAAGTTCTCCTACTTTGTGATAAACAGAAGGGATTAAAATCAATCACTATTTTACAGCTGGTATTACTCTTAACTGAAGGCTCCTCTCCTACATCACAAAGGATGAAAACCTGTAATGCACATACAACAATAATGAATGTGTAGGTGGGAAGCAAAACAAGAACAGAATTGATGAGTGGAGGAAATAGGCAAAGCAAAGCAAACATATAGAGGAAGTCCTGATCTGAGTACTTCAGCTTTTTATGACCACTCACTCTACACAAAGACACATGGTCTAAGTAAATCATAAGCAACTGCAAATAAGTGTTATCATCTCCAGTAAAATCCCCTTAGGAGCAATTTGAAATCCACCTTCTAGGAATCTTTCCTAATTTCTGAAAACTATCAATCCATAATCTTTCCCCACCCCTCACACCACAAATTCAAAAACCACAGCCCACACTGCATCACCATGAAAGTGAGTTTCCCTTACACAAAACTGACATTGCACCTAAACTTTCATCTTGAAAGGACTTTTGTGTGGAAAGGTCACAAGTCAATTGCTAACAAGCAAAGGCAAACCTAGATTCAAACAACTCACACCTGCCAGGAGAGTAGTCAAAAATCTGGTGCCTCATCTTCCTCATAAACTCAGTACACCACTCAATAACATACAAGCCAACAAAAGCAGATAGGAAGACAGATTTGTATAGGTGTAAGTAGCTACCAAAATATGTGTTCAAACAGACAATGATATTCTGCATGTATCTTATTTTGACCTAAAAATGCCACCAATCTTTCAAGTCACAGATGCTGCAGTATTTATCCCGATGAAGCACCACAAAACTATTCAGACTTACAGAAAGAGTTAAAACTGTATCTTTATAAGTTAACCAAGCCAGTGCCAGACTGATACTGCAAAGGAAATAAAGGACAACAACATGGTTTCACAATTTAGTGATTTGGAGAGAATACTTCTGAACATTGGATGTCTCACTACTAGATTTTTAAATGACATTCATGGGAAAAGTTTAGCACTTACATTCAACCAGCACTAACAGTCAAGCAGTACGTATTAAGAAACATGTCCAAGGTACTCCTATCTTCTGGACTAAAGAAGATTATCTTGTTACACGATTCTACTTACCCTCCATCTTGAAATCAATCCACCCATCTTCAGTTGTGGACAAATGTTGCCAGAGCTATCACTCTTCTATGAGAATTCACAGCTAGAAAATAAAGCATTAAGCACTTAGGAGCAAGCTAACAGCATAATCGAAGATTCACAAATTCATTCCAATATCTAAAGAAATCAAAATATTGCATAAAGCAATGTTTTATTACTGTTTTAATGTTTATTTTTAAATCCAGTTTTCTGTTTCAGAGGCCATCTTGTAAGCCAGTTGATCAGCCTTGATGAGGCCAAATTTATTTTTACTTTGGAAATTCTTAATCAGATTGGAGTCCTCAAAAACAGAGACACAAAATTACTGCTAAAAGAGCCATCAAAATTCTCCAGTAGAACAACAATTTTTAAAACTTACTATTGAGCAGGACTATTTAAGAAACTGATTTCCAGTTATTTCCTCTGCTGCCCATAAGCATAACTCAGTGTTCCTCTTCAGCTGTCAGTCCAGGCATCCAGCATTAATATCCTACTATTCATGAGAAAATTTCTCAAATAAATCTACTTCCTTTTTACACCATCATCAATAAGAATGTACTGGACAGCACTATCATTGTTCTTTGGTATGATCTGTTTCAAGTTCAAATAATCAGTTTCAAAGAGATTTCACTTGCTAAACAAAAGCAGCAATCGGCAAGTTTTCACCACACACAACCCACAGTGCAAATGACTCCAACAGTTCCAAAGGTGCAAAAGCAGCTTACCTCACCCTACACAAACCTGGAACCCTTGAACGACACTAATTCAATGACCTAGGTCCAAGTTCCTGAAACAAAAATGTAGCAACTTTCCATAAGAAGGTAGTTGGAATCAACTGACTTTGAACCTCAGTATAGCAGAATTTCTTTCTGCTCATTTAAATTACAAGTCTTTTACCTAGTGAATGAAAAAGTAATCAGTTCATAACAACCCCAACAGTAAACTGAGGGTTTACCAACTGAGGCTCAAACCTTTATTCTGGAATGAAACAGTAAGACTTACAGAAACAAAGCACTGATCTAGCTAGGTACAAATATAAGTGATTATTATCTTGTTTATTAAGTAACCTTCAGCAAAAAATCCAAATTTGTTTTCAAATTGTCTGAGGTTGTTAGAACAAACTTATATAGGCCACTCACGAGCAGGAACAGTACTGTAGTATGGTGGGTAACTTCCTCATCTTTTAAGAAAGCCAAGGGCTTCAGAATCTAGAACTATAGGCCCCGTGATGTCAGAAACCAATCCTTAAAAATAAGTAAATCCGTATTTGAAGTGCCGCCAAAATGAAGCTATAACAGATGGGCAAATTAGCTCTGCTGCTGCCAAATTACCAGCACAAAGGGGTAAGCTACAGAAAAAGCACAATTACCCCTTGGGCTCTTGAGCAAATTCTCAAAATAATCACTACTACAGCAACTCAACTCAGGAAAACAGCAGGTTGAGTTTTTTTCAAACACACAATTAACACAGATTGTTACACAATTGTCCCTTTGCATGAGTTTTTGCACGACAGTACTGCAGCAGATGTGAGCAGACTCTTTCTTCCCAAGTATTTCTACAGAGACAGATAGTTTCCCTACTGTTTTGCAATAAAGACAATGTGTCAAACAGCCAATCAAGAAGTCTGTAAAACTAGCACAAGGCTCCCAAATCTAGTTTGCTTCCCTAGCATTGCCACTGCTGTTAGGAGCAATAGTAGCTCTCAGTAATGGCCATAAGTGACAGAAACGCTCATGCAGGCTTTGTGTGTGTCATTTTCCTTCAAGCCATAGTTTGAGATCATCTGCAGTAGAAGTGTTAGAGGATATTCTGAGCACAGGTTACCCATGAGATACTGGTGACACTGACTTTTACCAATAACACATTCACAATGCTATTTCTACACAAGTGTTTTTAAAATATTTGGCAAATGCGTGGAAGAGAAACAGGTTTGACAAGTGTCACTGTACATATGATTTTACAAGAACTGTGATGATGACAGGCTTTATACATGCTGCTCTGCAAGTCAGTAATACTCCCAAAACCCTTCCCCAAAGACGTATTAAGGGATTAGGGCCACTAGATGCACATTTACAATTTAGACACTGAATCCTTAGTTCGGAGATACAGAATTTTTCATGATTTCTATGGAGTGCCTCAGATGCTCAAATGTTTTCCTTTCTTTCCTCCTTTCTTTTGACACAACAACACAAATTGTCTTCAGCTGCTTCAAACTCTCCTCCTTCCTCCTCATCTACCACTCCACATACCTATCCCTAATATACTACTACTCATGGTAAGAGTTCTCCTTCCACAAGTTGCTTGCTTCCCATGCTCTAATCAACAAATAACTGCAAAGTACTCTCCACTCTGAAGACTACACTTCTTTAGCACTGAGCTGTGCATTCCACTCACTAAGCACTACTGCAATTGAACTTACTTCCACAAACATTATCATTGATTTAATACACAAGATAGCTGCAATGTTTCCTAATCCTAGCCTTAAAACGGACAACAGAATTGTTAAAAAACACTTAATATAGAAGCTCAAGAAAACACTACTACCAATTTTATTACCTGACTCTCTCTCAAAAAATATTCATTTCTTGATAGCAGCTCCTCTACTCCCAAAACATGTGAGTTATTTATTAAAAAGCAGAAGTGCCAGAACTAAGAGTACCACAGTAGAAAAAGTTTCTCTTTGAAAGAGGGATGAATCATGCTTGATTACGGAAGTCATCCACCAACCATTCCACCAAGAGGGAGAAAATAGTTTGATGATCTCATTTCACTTTTATCAAGTCAGTCTCAAATTTCTTCAAGCTTATTGATAATGTTTTAAGATTAAAACGTCTCCAAAAAGAAAAAAAAATCAGTCTCCCAAGTAAATATTAATAACTGACATGCTGAAATTCAAGACTCCATAATGTCAAGAGAAGACATATTACAAGAAAAAAAAGGAAGTTAGAAACTTGTCATGAAAGCCTTGTGTACAGACATACAAATCTTTCCCCTGAAGGAACAGGCAATGCTTTTTAAATGAGGGTTTTTGTAAGCTTAGTGACTTCATTTTATGTAAATATTTTTAAATATTTATCACTGCAAAGAAGACAAGTTCTACCGTTCATATTGAATCTCCAGTTCTCCCACAATTTACTGACCTCAGAAACCTCCAGTGGGACCACAAAGTTTCTCCAGCTACGAGTGCCGTGGACAAGGAAACAGGCAAAAGAAAACCAAAAGCATCACCCACCACCTACTGCTGGCCTGTTCTAGGTCCTCTCAGTTAAAACACGACACCGAACTTTTTTCTCATTTAAACCTGACTTTCAGGTGCTCCTGTTCGGAAGTAGCCTACAGAGGTTTACGCTTTGTAGAGCCTTAATTAGAAAGGCAAATCAGTTCCCCTACGGGCTGCGCTGCACCGCGGCGGAGCGAGGGCTGGCTGGGTCAGGCGCGGTTTGGGAAGCCCAGCCCCGGTGCGAAGCCTGCGGCCGCCGGGGCCGGGCGGAGCCCGGGGGCGGCCCCAGCCGGTCCTGGGGGCAGCGCTCGGCGCAGCCGCGCCCGGGCGGGCTCCGCAGGGCCCCACCGCCCCCTCCCCGCGGCCCGTGGCTCCCTCCCCCGGGGCTGCACCCTGTCCGCCGCCCGACTGCCCGCGGCACGGCGGGAGAAAGCACCGGCCGCCCTGCTGCGCTTCGAGCCCCGGCTCGAAGCCCCCGGTCAGGGAGCGCCGAGCGCCCCTCTGCCGCCGCCTCGCCGGGGCCGGGCCGGGCCGGGCCGGGCCCCCCCCAGCACGTACCTGCCGCGGGCCGGGCCGCGCATCCCACCCGGAGCCGCCGCCGCAGGAGGGACCCGCCGCCCGGGCGGTGCTCCCAGCAGGCCCCGCGCGGCCCCGGCAGCCAATCAGCGCCGCGCTGCCGCGGGGCGCGCAGGGACGGGGCGGGGCCGCGCGCTCGGTGGGGCCGGAGCGGCGGGAGCGGCCGGGGAGGGGCTGGGGCTTTGTACCGTGCGGGACCCACCGAGCCGTGCGGGACCCACCGAGCCGTGCGGGACCCACCGAGCCGTGCGGGACCCGACCCGACCCGACCCGACCAGCCGCTCCCGCCGCGCCTCGGGGCTCGGCCGCGGCGGTGTCACGGTGCCTCGGGCGGCCGTGCCCAGGCGGGTCGAAGCGGCCGGGTGTCGGAGGCGGTCCCCGTTCTCCTACGGCTCTCGCCGGTCCCCGCTCGCAGAAAATAAAGGTGTTTTAGCCGAGGAACGTGAGGGTTAGGCTGTCTCGTGGGGGGTTGCCCCGGCCTCCTGGCGCTCTGGTGTTGAGCCTCTGCCGATGAAGCGGTGCTGACAAAGGCGGCGTGCTGGGTGTGTGCTCTCCAGGCGGACCCTGGAGTCCCCTGAGAGTCACAGCAGGGGGATGCTCTCACTGTTGCCTTCGATCCCGTCAGCAAATGTGGAGCATCTTTGGAGAGAAGCAGAACTCTGTACTTCTTTAATTTACACTGCTGTAATAACAGCGTTCCTCTCCCTTAGTTCTCTACTTCATCAGTTTTCTTAAGAGGCTGACACACACCACTGGCCTCATGCATAGAGAACAGAGGAACAATGAACACTTGCTCTGTTTGCACTGTTTTTCTGACAAAGTCTCCAGTGCCCTGCCTGGTGTTTTACCACTACAGTTACAGAAGTGGGTGCGTGTGCACAGATGTGGAAGAAAGTCCTTCAGAGTGCCTTGAAGTAGAAATTCCCGTGCAGAAGCTGTTACACCTGCAGCTGACCATGCATTGTTGAACTTGCATGTGACAGTGCATCATAGGACATCCTACACATGTTGTGGTTTTTCCAGTTGTGGTAGTTGATCCTGGTCAGCAGGCAAACACCCCCACAACCTCCTGCTCTCTCCATTTCAGGAGGATGGGGGAGATACTAAGATGAGTAAAAGAAAGCTCATGGGTTGGGTTAAAAGAGAGTTTAGTAAGTGAATGAAAAAAAAAAAAAAAAACCAATGCAAGGGAAATAACCACCTGCCATAAGCAGAGTGATGCCCAGCCAGTCTTCAAGCAATCATCTATCCTGGACGACAAACTCCCCCACCTTCTTATTGTGCTACCCCAGTTTTATTGCTAAGCATGATGTTTTGTGGTATGCAATATCCACGTGGCCAGTTTGGGTCTATTGTTCACGCTGTTTTCCTCCCAAGATTTTCGCCAATCCCCAACCTACTCACTAAGAGAGCAGAGCATGAAAAAAGATAAAGCCTCAACACTGTGCAAGTACTGTTCAGCAATGGCCAAAACATTGCTGTGTCATCAGTGCTGTTTTAGTCACAGAATACAACAAACAGCAACACATGGGCTGCTGTGAAGAAAATTAACTTCATCCCAGCCAGACCCTGTACATCAATTTTGAAAATAATTCAAATTCAAACAGAGTAGGCAAGGATTCTAGACCAGGAGAGGGCAAACAAGATGTCCCACCAGCTTTCCTGGCAACACAATCAGCTCTCAAGTTTTAAGTAGTAGAGCTGCTGAGTCTGATCATCTGCCAGGCATTCATTCTTAGTTTTGACATTGGGAAAATAATCCTTTTAGCTTCTGCCAGTGTTCAGAGTGAACCTAGCTACTTTGTATTATCAGCTAGTTACAGTATCAGCTAAGTAACAACTTCATCTGCATATCATGATTTAGAATGGGCTTCAAGTTCATTCAAATCAAAATAATGGCAGTCAGTGCAGAACCACTGATTATACTCAGAAATACTCCGCTATCGATTACAGAGGTGACCTAGATCTACAGCTTTATTTTCCTCAGTGAGACCTATACTTTTCCTTCCTTTCCAAGTGGAAAAAAGACTCAGTGACTGAGCCTCTCCTCTTCAGCCTGCTCTCTAGAGTCACTTCTGCTTAAATCCTTATAATAAGGACTATCACTCTGCTGAAAGAATAATTTCCAGATTAAATACAGCTAGTATTACAGATTAAATACAGATTGAATAGTCCATTTCTGGTTTTGATTCTTTGAAGTGGCATGTTGCTGTGGAGAATCTGATTTAAATCTTCATCTTTAAGCTAATATATTTAAGTGTGCTGACATCTTTTTCCATGGTGTAGCATAATATCCATTTAAAATAAATGCAAATAATGATGGTATTGTGTTTAAAGACATTTTGAAATGCTATGGGAAATACTGGGGTCTCCAAGAAGCTGCTTCTTTTCTTTTATTTTTTTCTTTTTTTTTTTTTTTTTAAAATCCTTTAAAGTCACTACAAAATTCAGCCCTGATTCAAGCTCTACTTCTGTCCTTGGGCCCTTTTGCAGAGCTGTTTTTTATGCAGGCTTACTCTGTGAAGTTCTAATCATTGCTATTCAGTTATGAATCTATCTAACTGATAGTTTGAAAAAAGAATTGTTAGCCACCATTACTGAACTTTACTTGCAGACAAGCCTCTCAGCTGTGTGGTATTATATGATAGTATGCAGCTACCTGTTTGTGAAAGCACCAAGATCTACCTAAAAAAAGAGGATATTATGCCCATGTAGCTGGTGAGGATGAAAAAACTGAGTATAAAAACATAACTTTGAGTCAATCAGCTTCAAATTTCCATTAATCTGGTTCAAAACTGCCCCCTACAGAGTATTTAAAACTCTTAAATAAATTCTCTTCAAAATCCTTCATTATCAGTGGGATTGGTGTTTAACCTGACTCTACATAACCACTCCAAGAGCAGAGTACATCTTCAGAATTTTCCCCAGCATCATAGACAGCATTTAGCATTTTCAGTCCCTCTACATGTAGAACACTGAACAACCAACTTATTTTAAAAAAACCCAAACAATAAACTTCTCTTAAAATACGTAGGTCTCACACCCCAAGATCACCTTCAAGAAGAGTTTTCTCATGGTATCATTTGTAACACTCCTATATTTTAACAATAGCCTACTAGTCCAATTTAATTTTTCTAAATAAACATATGGGTCTGTTCATCATTAGGAAAATGCTAGCTGGTAAAGAGAAATTTAATGTTGCCTAACAGTGTTTACTTGAGGGCTTTTATTTAGCATTTCAAAACAGATTCTTTTGGACTTCTCTGGCTGGTGAGCCCATGTAGATTCTGGGAAGTTTTAGGTGCTGAATCAGAACCTGTGTTTACATTGGAAATTGTGGAGATCTGATTTCAGCAAATGAAGGTACATAGATAACCTAAAGATTACAAACTCCACCATTCAAACCACTACTGACTGTGCTCTTTGCCATCTCACCATTTCTTTCATGTTGTGGTTATTGGGAATTAGATGCTGCCATTTGCTGCATCGCTCAGACTGACACTGGGGTACTGTGTCCCAGTTGGGTTTGAGTCAGCCCCCTGTGCTCATCGCTGTACACCACAGGGAATCCCTCAAGAGCACAGCTTCACTTCCTCATGTCCTGTGGGCACCTCAGTGATCAAAGCAAGCCCAAGTTCTCAGGGACACAGTCCAGGCACTCCTGGCTCTGTTTTCCACCTACAGAGCTGCTCTACCACCACTAATGGAGTGAAGTGGGTGTCAGTTGTTGGGTGGCTGCAGTGCCCTTACATCCCATCCTTAGCTGAATGTACCTCAGTCACTGGTGTTAGTGGAAGACAAAATTTAATCTAGTCAGCAATGGATGATGTGTGTCAAGACCTGGAATCTGTTTTCTGTGGATCTTGAACTGAATGAGTGCTCACTGGCATTTTATAAATTACACATATATAGCAACTAACACACATTTGTGAATGTCCTGCATAATTCAGCTTTGGGAAAACATACATAATTGTGTTTATTTATATTTCATAGTTATATTATATTTATAATATATTTTATTAAGTAATTTAGGAAATTTTTTTACCAAAGTAAGAAAATACATGTCATTAATAACTTATGTGTGTGCATATCTGTAATAAAAGTTACATCAAAATGGATTAACCAAATAAACTGTGTTTAATTTGTGACATTTAAATAATTTCAAAGCATACCAAAATATGGCACTCCTGAAGGTGACTTCAGTGACATATTTTGGCAAGACATGCTTTAGAAATGTGTTCTGCAACAATAGCATTGAGAAAGATATCACAACTTTGATTTATTTTTTTATATATAGTAGTGTACGCTTCTTTCAATATCCTGATCCAACTGTAACATTTAGAGTGTCAGATGTCTATGTTCTTACAGCAGCCTCTGGTTACCTGAGCCTTTCAGTATTTTATCATGCAGGGCATTTGAATACTCTATGACTTTCATTAAGTCCTTTTTTTAAGGCTCTTTCCAATAAATTATTATCTCAAAAAGAAGTATATAATCTATTAAGTCAAAAGATATAATTTCAAGTGAATGGCTCATATAAAAATCTCTCAACATTGCGTGCAGTCGTCAGAAAAAACCAATACCAACTTTTCATTCCAGAAAGTGTTCTTGTTGTGATTAAGACCTTTGCTTTTGATTAATAATTATTGTTACTCTTACTATTATTACTACTACTTAGTGTTGCTATTGCCACTGCTATGACTGTCACTATTGCTGTCACTATTGTTATACTACTATTGTTGTTATTTATTATTACAATTGTTACTGTTATTTCTATGGTTATTTTGCTGATCATTGTTCTGTGGCAGATGTAAACATTTAAACCCTTTAAAATAAACAAATTCAAATCATGTATGAAGTTTTATACACATACAAGTACATCCCCTTCCCTGATGGGCATGACTTCAAGCTTCTAACCCTTTAATGGCTAAAATGAGTAATTTATGTTTATAATTATAAAAATGACTGTATAACAATAACTCAGTGTTCTGTAAAAAACACACTAAATCAATTTTCCCTAGTTTCCAAGTGAAAGCATGATTATTCTCACTGAAAATATTTG